TACAAATGATTTTCATAATATATAGAAACGTTTATACTATTTATACTTCTGAACGTTTCATTAATATTTGAACATTTCTGTAAAAATTCTTGTATTGTTCTGGAATATTCGGCACATTGGGAATGCAAATATATCCTTTCACGAATAATTAGCGTTAGCTGAGTCCTGGCGGGTGATCCGTTTCGAGTTACGTTTGTTATGCAATAAAGAGAGAACTCATCAAATATCTTGCAAAGAGAAATATATCACTAAATACAGCTAAAACAAATTTTTCAATGGACATTCTAGGTCCAAACCCATATAACACAGAAACTTGCAGCAACATTGCAATAACATTCCAAACATTGCAGCATGAGATAAAGTCTGTTATTTACTGGTTCTTTCTATATTCTTTCTATCCATCTTGATTTATATTATTATTCTATAACTTTTCTTCCTTTCTTTAACAAAAATTATTAAAGAAGCAATTTTGATTGATATTTCAGAAAAAAAAGAAGTCTGTTTATTTCACAAATTGTTTGATATATTATATTTCACAGAAAAAAAAAGTCTAGTTACTTTTCGTAGTGTTTATTGGCGCTTGCTGAATCGTAGATATCGAGCTATCGCGTTCTAGATAGACCGCATTTAACAATGTCTCGACCGAATTCCAAATAATCTTAAAAGAGCACATATTATTTCCGATTGAGTGGCTTCTTTCTACCGATAGCGAGAAAGCGGCCGTTAGACGGAGTGGAAGGGAAAAAGAAAACGTCGCGTGTTCGCCAACTTCCATCAGGAATGCTCGATTAGAATCAACAAGGAAGCTCGCAACAGGTGAGAATGTTCGTCTTGCATACGCGATGATCCTTTCGACACGAAACTCTCCTTATAGAATTGAACGTTCGGATAACGTTGAAGATCAGTTACTGTAATACTCAACTTCTGTCAATGGAATCTCCGAACTTGGATTTGACCAATAATTGTATTGACCAATAATATATAGAGACAAATCAGAATTTGTCCTAAACGTACAACTCGCAGTCAATCCAGAAATAGATCGTATCCGCTTGTATCACAATTGAAATGTACGATGTATAAATTCCGTCAAAGTCCCCTCAGTGAGATTCCTTTTCCACTGGTAGCATTTTACATCTGTGTGAAAGAGTAGCGGAAATATCGGCATCAGTACCGGATTGGCGCGTTGGTATGCGCGTCACAATGGTCATGTTGTTTCTATTCGACGTCCCGCGAGGGGAAAAATTCGCGGATAAAGTGGAAACGCCTGGAAAGCAGCCGGCGGCGGAGCGAAAATAAAGAGAAACGACAGGGAACGTTCAGCAATGATACCGCCTCGTGCATCCGAAAGTAGATATGCGCAGTGATGCGTCTCGACGAATGCACCCGCGAGCTGCACGTTCTCCGACACGACCGAGAAGTTTCTGACAATTATAAAAAAGAAGGATTGCCAGGATGCATGGAGAATAAAAGTGTTCGTGGAAAGCATACGAAACCAAAGTTCTTCAGTCACGTGTTGTATTCCGATTCAGGACAGAAACCTTGATGGAAACAGAAATTTTTTTGTAAAATTTCTAAATTGTCAAATCTAAATAATAATATTTCTATTTGCAGCCGCGATATTTCATATTTTGTCTTGCAATATTTTATATTTTGCATTATTATATTTGTAATATTAAATTTATTATATTTTAGTATTATGGTATTTTTTTTTGCAATTTTTATATAGATATTTATATACATGTACAAATATAGATAATGTATATTTATTTGCGGTACTGATTTTGGTTTTTATTCAGGTATTGTTTAGCCAGTTTCTAGCATTGAATGTCTTTGTTTTCTTTATAACAAGTTAGATTGTGAACAGTAATCTTTTGCAATTATACCGCGCGCGCGCGAACGGAAATTTTATCATAAACATAACATTCCTGTCTGACAAATAAGAACTGTAATCACAGTCAGGTGGATATTTAGCATTAAATAGAGATGTAAATTGGAGTGTCTGTCTAGTAAATGCCAGTAAAAGACGTTATTTCAAGCTGCGTTCATCGTTAAGTCGTTCCAAAGTAAATTAAAGTAAGGCGGAAGAGGCAATTGTTTTATGAATTCCTTGAAATGTAAGCGTTGCAAAAGCTGGACCGCGCAAATAAATGATTAATTCGAGAATTAAGTTTTCAAAGAAAAACGCGGCCATTATTTACTCTTTTAACTGGATCGCCTCTCGCTTTTCATAATCGGATTCCATCGGTATCTCCCTGGATGGACGTGGTATCTTCTCGTTATATCTAGAATTATCTTTCGCTGTATTGTTCCTTTGTCCTTAAATGAAATCGATCGTGACATGTATAATTTATAAGCTGCCGTTAATTAAATTTCAGCGTTTGATTGGGGTCATTTAAATTTATGATGGACTAGCATGACTTTCGTGAAAAATGGCTGATTGCCTTTAGAAAACGAGTTGACATTTAAAAAGGCGAATGTCACATTTATCGCATTGTTGATGTTAATAATGTAACTATGGATATTAACAATGTACAACTTGATGTAAGAATACCAAATGTAACATAATTGTGCATAATGGCGGCTAAATATCGATTTTAAAAATTTACTTTATTTTCTATTGGTTGATTTAAAAATTTTTAAACTTTTTAAATTTGGAGCAAATTTCTAATTTATGCAAGAACGAGCATACTTTGAATAACTGAATATTTACGGTGGGAACGTTACACTTGGTGTTCTTATTTCATGCTATGTATAATATACAGGATATGTCAAATTATGAAACAAAAAAAGCGATTCGTAATTTTACACGCAGTGTACGTGATTAAATGACTGTAAAATAATCACTATTTTATTGCAGTAGAATTTTTCTCTCGCTTCACTTTCTCCGATGCAAAGTAATCGTCACAGATATATTGTGGGTATTATCAGTCTGTAGCAAAATATTACGCGCTACCTGGTAGTTTTATCGGGTGCGTTTTTGAATGATCGAGGTATTCTGTGTTATTCGTCAACGATTTGTCGACTCGACAGATCGTCGGCGAGAGCACTCGGGAGGACGACGAGAGAGAGAGAGAGAGAGAGAGAGAGAGAGAGAGAGAGAATGCGAGGGTGTGTTGGCGTGAACCACGTTGCGACACGGGCTGACACGTATGCGCACGAATATACCTTTAGTTCGCGGCTTGACGAAGCTCGACATTAAAGAGCCTCTCGCAATATCGGGGGCATAGCACAGGCTGGAGAGCGACTTGGCAGGACCCGGAGGATACGGAGAGTGTAATGTAAACTAATTAGCAACGAGTCTGTGTCAATTAAGCCCGCTAGAGTGCCTCTCGCACTGACATTCCGCCGATGGGGCGCTGTACAAGCATCTCGCCGTGACAATGATGTACCAGGTTTATAAAGATCGAAAACTATTGATAGGGAGAGAAGGAAATGTCTCCGTATATTGGACTTTTTCAAGTTGGAAATTCAATTTTTTATAGGATCTTTTGACGTGAAATAGTAAAATATATTAATATTTTACAGGATGATTTATTTCTATGTTAAGAAACAAATATTTTAAAAATATACATTTTAAAAAATACAAAAAAACATTCCAAGTAGTTTAAAGAGAGACGTACAAGAGGTGACGTCCCCCTTTATATCATATATAACTTTTATTTAAGATGTTTTTTTTAATAAAATTACATCTTTAAAATATTATAGTCCATTAAGATAAAAATGAATCATCCTATATATGTTTAACTATCAATCACGTCTTTCGTTGATTTTCGTCCTGCAATAAAATATAGAAATAATAAAAGCTGCGATAAAAAATAAAAATAAAAAAATTGCCATTATAATCTGCATAATAATAATGTTTTTTACTCTCTTTCTAATCCAATCTGTGTAGTATATGTTTCGTGAAATGATTATTAGCAAAGCAATAAATATTAGATCTGCCTTTCACGTGAGCTTAATGCCACGGATGTAACACGCTAATAGGAAAATACTAAAACGGGAAATTACGTTCGTCCCATGACGTCAGTCGTATCTGTCTGATCGTGCACGACTCACAATTATCTCATCTACGACAGACGGCCTCGGGAATCGTGCTTTCGAATTCACAGCACGTTGCAGAGAGTACTCGGTGATCCGATACTTCGATAATTCGGACGCACGTTTCGGCGACATGTGGTTCACACTTCGGTCTACAAGAGTGTACATACATCATCCTTACGTGCCTGCAGTATGTCTCTACATTTATCGCTTTGTCGAAATTAAAGCAATCAATTGGATTGTGTGAGCTAATGAATATTTAATTAGGTAGAACAATGATGCTGCTGTTCAATGATATCATAGTAATATTGAAAGGATAAACAAATCAAGAGAGCATCCCAAAAATATCACATTACCGCTAAAGTTGGAGCATAAATCATCAGCAAGCTATAAATAATAATGTCATGGTTGAAACACTCTTTATTTCGAAGTCAATTAATAAATTAATTCTCAAACACAAGGTATTGAAAAATTAATAAACAGATGACATTTTATACAGGATAATAAATAATTCGTAACTGGATTAGAAGTAAAAAATTATCGTGTTTTTTAGCGTGCAAAATATCTCGACAAATGTTTATTTATTTACGGAACCATTCGATATTTCGATATCACATCGTATGCGAAATTATTTAAATATTGTCGACGCTACTCTCTTTCGGCTCTTAAATATCGTAACGCAAACTCTATGTATCTAACGGTTACAACGGGGAGGAAGTTTGATTCGCTCCGAACGCATCGTTTGCAACATCCCGCGCGCATTTCCACATTCATCGAAATCCGGCATACCGCACGGAACTTTGGCAACTTCGATCGTCCAAGCCGAGATGCAATTGCGGGATTAATCAACGTCGCGCACACGGACACACACGCGCGCACTCGTTCGTGCGGATATACACACGCGGTTCTCTCACGTACTGCTCCGTGCGACTGTAGTATCGGCACGGTCGATACTCGCCTCACACACACACACGTAGACACACACATACATTCGGACGGCCGCTATTTTATTCATAATTCGAGATATGATTCCCACAACGCGCCGCGCTGCCGTCACTTATGCATTATCCAGTTCGGAGCGGATGACGTCTTTCCTCTTTCCCGTCGTGCCAATCGCCCGCGCCGCCATCGCCGCCGTCGCCTCCGCCTTTGCGACACGCGACTGTACCAAAGTGGATTTATGTGACGGAAAACCTGCCGATATCTTCCTCATGCGACAAACATTTTCTTGAGTGCACAGCGAGTACGTAACCTTCTCTATATCCGATTTCGCGAGCAGCCGCCGCTATTTCGCTAAAAGCGCGACGACCACCTCCATCGGAAGAAGACCGATAAATCGGTTGCGAGAATCGCGTTTTCGAGAAAAGAGCGGAAGACCTTCTCGAAGGCCATACGCGACAAAGTTCTAAACGAGAAAGGATCTGAGTTCTCTATAAGTGATTGGGAAGTATATGTGAATCATATTTATCGTCATATTTTCTTTCTTTTTGATCAAAACTGGCATGCAATTTGATTTTAATAAAATATAAAATGTCAACTATATCATTTTTCAACTGTATTTTCAAATTGATCGACATAATTTTGTAATGTTGTAAAATAATATAGTTAAAAGTTTGTCATAAATATTTTCATATTATAATTGCTTGTCAGTTTAATATGTGATATTATTACTCTAGTTCTGTTCATAATTGCGTTTTAAGATTGTAAAAGATTTCGTGCAATTTTCTAAATTCGATATAAATTCATATTGAAAAATGCTTAAGCATTAAAGTGCACTTCGACAAAAAACAAGATTACTTCTGTTATTGATTAATATTTCTGTATGTTTTTTTCTCGCTCTCAGAAGAATACAAACGATGAATATACGAACAACATATTTAAGAAATTTCTTCTGTAAACACAAAAGAAAAGATTTAGCTATTATATCATTTTTGTATCAAATGATGATGACGTTCTCTATACGTAGATAATATAATTTTGAAACTGTCGTTTTGGATTGAAACTGGATTCATTACACATTCGAAAGATTTATCATAAATTTTTCACGATTAAATCTAATCATAAACTGATGATTTAATCAACTGTGACATTTAAATGTTAAACGTAATTGTAGTATATTTTCCGAAGGGATAAAGATTCACGTTTTTCAATAAATAAATATTCGCAACATGCTGGATATAAATTGTTGGACAAACATTTTTCACATACGAATGATTGTAAATAAGTTTTTTGATGGATATGCATAAAGTTAAAAGCTAGGCGAAAAATATCGCTGATATCGACCGATTTCCTCCGTTCCAGACATCTTACGGTCTTCCGTGTCTGGCGACTTTAAGCCCGCGGTTAATAAAGATTTCATCAAGTTACCAAGATCTACGGAAGGGAGAAGTTATCTCCCTCTCTCTTTCTCTCTTTTGCGAGTGAGATTGCGCATATTTCGCAGATTATATCGCGAAATTGGTTAACCCGACATTGCCCCGTAATCGCGAGTAAATTTCGCGAAAATTCGACGTTACAAAATGGATATCGTGAAAATGGATAGTCGAGGAATTACCCAACCAGGTAAATTATTACGATCCTCTTGCGATGTGGCGAGCGAACCAAACACTCGTAAATCGTTTTCAACATCTTTATAAACGTCCAGATTATTTCGCGAAAAAATGAATATTTATCACTCTCGAAACTTTCAACACGTTAAAGATCGCGACGAAGAGTTGCGAAAGCAAATATCCCGCGGACGTAATTCTTCTATGACTTGAAAAGCCGATGTACCTATAATATTTCCTTGGCGTCCGAATAACCATTTTATGGTGCCTAAAATAACAATATTAAAATGGTTTTTTTTATCCCTGAAAGACGCAAACTATCAAGCGACAAAATAATGAAACGATTAAGAAATAAACCTTTATTAAAGCTTTAAGTAAATCGCGAATATAGTTCGAAATAATTCAATTTTTTTCGGAAGACATTACGAAAACGTGCTTACATCTTATACTTATATGTAATAAAAGTAGAAAGAAATTGAATTAACAATGTTGAATTACAAATGAAGTATCATATGTCTTTTAGTGGAATTAATAATTGAATTAAAAGGTACATATAGTATTAATTTTGTTGAATTAAATATAATTTCTTTTTTCTTCTTCATAATTGTTATAAGAATGGCTATAGAAATCTTGATTGTAATTTAATTGTGACATACATAGAATTACAGTAAAATTACATTATTTAGACAGATACAAATTAAACTTTTCTCTAAACTCAACTCTCTTATTTACGAGTTATTATTCTGTCATATTTACAGAACTTCGCACGTTGAGACCTGATGAAAGCTATAATAATACGTATGTCTGATTAAACTTTCACAATGATATAACATACATTTTAACGTTTAATCTCTCCATTGACCTCGTTTGTGGTCACCGCAGTCATGCAATTACGATATTAACAACCGCAATCGTAACAATATCGTTGCCGCGCATTCCACGAGATCCGCTTCTACATTATCTCCCTTCCCCTCTCTCTCTCTTTCTCTCTCATTCTTGACATTGCTTTACAATTCTTCCTCGAGAAAAGAGGCAAATGATTTTCACATTGACACCGCGTAACGTCACGAGGGGACGAAGAACAAGCGGCACCGTGTCGTCTAAGTCCTGAAGGACAATACCATGAGGACAACGAGAGAGATAGTAAAAGTAAAAGCTCGTAGGTAGGGTTAGCGAAGACGCGTTTCGAGCAGAAGAAAGAGGCGAAAGGAGAGAAGCAGGAAGAACGGTCGAGAAAACGACGGGGACGACAACGACGACGGCGGTGACGGCAGAAAAGGGAACCGAAGGGAAGATGCGAGAGGGGCAGAGATGCGGAGGAGTGTTACAATAGCTTGCAGATTGGAGAGGCAGACGTACAGTCCCTGACCTAGCCGCTGTACAGTCCGCCCAGAAGGTTACAGGACGGGGATGCCACATGAAATAATGTGCTTATCTCTCTCTCCCTCTCTCTCCCCCCCTCTCTCTCACTCTCTTCCTCTTTCTCTCTTTCTTTCTCCTTCGAACTCTATCTCTTGCCCGTCCTACTCGCACTCCCGTCTGATCAAACCACCATATTACTACTTGTACAAATATATCCCACCCGCAAGAGCAGATGGGAATCTGTCTCCGGTGGTTCTCAACCTGGTTGATTGAAACCGCCAGCTGGTTGCTAGTTGGCCTTTACAAATGAATTATCCACCGCCGTATTTCTGAGAAGATTCTACGGATCAAACTGATAGCTTTGGTCTCGGGTACGACATGAGCTTTATGCGAAATGATCTAGTACGGTCAAATGGTAGTTTGAACACTTGGAGCACGTTGGCTTACAGATGTGTATGTGTTTATTATACATATCTATTCAATGGGATTTTCACGTCACAATCTCAGCGCGACAACATTAACAGTTGAGTTACAATTTCTCACATAAAGAAACTGCCATTCAGACCGATATTCATAGTCTGTTCTTATATTTAAGATCCTAAGTGCAGTAATTTACGCTTAAAATGTCATAAACTAATCGGAGCCGTATTAACATATTGAGGCATTACTTGATTGACAAGATAAGACGGTCTTGAAATAAGATCCGACTATGAATATCAACTTTAGATTGCTCGTTAAAAGAAGATTCAAAAGACGCGTTAAGAATGTTATGATGCATTTTATAATTTGCAAATATAAAAAACTTTTATTTTTACTACAAATAAAGAACCATCTTTTCTACTTATAAAATTTGTAAACTTTCCTACTTAAAAAATGCTTGACTTCCTCACAAAAATTTATAAAGGCTATTCGAAATACAATGATTGGAAAAGCAGATTCGTAGCGAAGGGAATATTTGCTTGCTCATAATCGGCAAAACCTTGATCGGATCTGACCACGGCACTTGTCGAACCCACGAAATCAATCTCGGCGATTTCGTATGACAGCCCAAGCGAGCAACGCAATTACCGGGACTATTATCGACTCCATTCCGGCCCCTTCCGGCAGGGTGAGAGGGCAAGAGAAACTTCGCAGCGGGACTCCTCGGCGTGATCCAGACACGGCCGATGCTCCTCCCGGCTTTTAATTTCTCGTTCTGGTTTCCGGTTTTGCGTACTGGAAAAGTTTCGAGACGGAAGTTGCACCACCACACCGCTCAGGGATGCTTTGAGCAAGAAGAAGAAGTCTGTCTCGAGGTCGGTTTGGATGCCGTAGCTCTGGGGCGTAATATTGATCATGGCGTGGGCGAGAGAGAGAGAGACAGAGAGAGAGAGAGAGAGAGAGAGAGAGAGAGAGAGGGCGGCGAAAGGGGGACGAACGAGACGAGGGGGTCAGGTGGGGTGTCTGCGCGCCCTCTCGTCCTCCTCGCTCTCCGCGGTGGCACAGGGGGACGAGAAAGGGGTGCGAGAGGGCAGAGGAATCAGCTGAAGCGTTACAACGGGCCCACTCGCTGCATATACGCTGCGGGTATACCGGGTGCTCGTTAAAAGAAGATTCATTTTGTCAAAAACTGCGATTGTCTAACCCCCTACTTTATTTTTTATCTAAACTGTGACAGAAAGTATTCGAGATTTTTATACTTATTTTTTTCAATTAGGATAAAATGAACGGAGTTTATCGTAAACGATATTTATTACGACTCCAAATTATATGCTTTTGACAGTGAACTGAAATTCTCTTCGTATTACAGCCAAAGCCATGATTTACTGAAGAGAAGTAACTTAAAGGATACACGAAGAATTATTGCTATCTCCGGTTGAAATAGCGCAGGCATGGCACGGTACTGCGAATTCTCGATAGAAAGGATGAAGTTGCTGATGATTAGAGGGAGTAATTCAATCTTCTAAAGTAAGATCGTAGCAATTCAAAATTTCTTGGAAATATAAATAAAGAGAGCGAGAGAGAGAGAGAGAGAGCGAATTTGATATATTCCATTGTTTCATATATTTAAGCATGAAAGTATCTATATATAGAGAAAGTATGCGTGATACAATAGATTGTCTACAAAGCGCGTTGCTCGTTATCTACGCGGATGCTGTCAATCACCGAATCTCAGCAAACCCGGCAAGGTTTCATCCCACCTTTCATTACGAGGATTTTTCCGACTGAGAACCGCTGGGACTGTTTCAGTCAGGATCGAAATGACAGTCTGGGCGAGAGGCGCGAGAGCTTTGAAAGCTCTCCTCTCTTTCTCTCCTCTCTTTATCTCTCTTTCTCTCTCTCTCTCTCTCTCTCT